GAGTTGAAAGAAATAATACATTTATACTGTATTTTATTTATTTACTGGGTCCCTGGTGGCACAATTGTTAGGTGCTCAGCTGCTAACAAAAAGGTCAGCTGTTGGAAACCACCAGCCACTCCACAGGAGAAAGATATGGCAGTCTGCTTCTGTAAAGATGTAAAGCTTCAGAAACCCTATGGGACAATTCTGCTTTGTCCTGTAGGTCACTATGAGTTGGAATCAACTCAGTGGCAGTTGATTTTGGGAATGGATTTACCTTTAGTGGTGTAATTTACCTTTGCTTTTATTTCTTCATATAGATTCAAGTTATTATCTAATGTCCTTTCATTTTAGCTGGAAGGACTCCCTTTTGTATTTCTTCTAGAGAAAGTCTACTAGTGAATAATTTTCTATTTTTTTTTTTTTTTATTGTGATTTGGATGAAAGTTTACAGAGCAAATTCACTTTCCATACAGCAGTTCACATACTTGACACTGACTACAATTTACTCCAATGCAGCCGCTCCCCTCCCATTTCCTCCCGATAGTTACTTCTTCCCTGTGTCCATCCCTCCCACTCCTGCCCCCTGAACCGTCTCCCTGTGCATAAACACTATTTCTTTTTTTTCTATTTCTTTTAAAATCTGAGAATGTCTTAATTTATCTTTTTTTAAAGGATAGTTTTGCTGGATATAAAAAGTTTTTTTTTCAGTACTTTGACTATACCCCACTGTCTTTTGCTCTTCATCATTTCTCATGAGAAGTCAGGTGTTAATCTTACTTCTTGTTCTTCTTAGGTGCTGTTGAATCTTACTTAACCAAAATAATAATAATAATAATAATAATAACTCAAACTCACTGCCATCGAGTTGAGTCTGACTCATAGCGACCCCCTTTGGGTTTCCATGGTGGTTAATCTTTACAGAAGTAGATTGCCCAGTCTTCCTTTCACAGAGTGGCTGGTGGGTTTGAACCTCCAGCCTTCTGGTTAGCAGTCAAATGCCTTAGGCACTGTGCTGCCAGGGCTCCTTAGGGTCCCATATATGTGATGTGCTACTTTTCTCTTGCTGCTTTCTTGAGTCTTTTAACCATTTTTCTGAAAAATTGTGGTAAATATATATGTACCAAAACATTTTCCATTTCAACATTATTCACATGTACAATTTGGTGACATTGTGTTCATTGTGTTATACAACCATCACCATTATCCATTCCCAAATTTTCATCCTTAACAGAAGCAATGAGTCCCCTTACGCTACCACCAGTCCACCCTTGGTAACCACTGATAACTTAGGTCTGTATACACTTGACTATTCTAGATATTTTATGTAAGTGGAATTATACAGTATTTGTCTTATTGTGACTGGCTTATTTTCAAGGTTCATCCACGTTGTAGCATTTATCAGAACTTTATTGCTCTTTATGAATAAGCAATTTTCCACTGTATATATGTACCACATTTTGTATATCCATTCATCATCATTTGATGGAGATTTCAGCTATTATGAATAGTGCTGAAATTAACATTATTAGTACATCTATCTGTTTGTATTTCTCCTTTCAATTCTTTTGGTTATATACCTAGAAATGGAATTACTGGATCATATGGCATTATAATGTGGCAACTTTGGAAATCATACTTTCCCCTCCCCAGAGGTAGTTGTCATTGTTGTTGCTGTTTGTTTAGTGAGTTTCTTGGACTAATTCTGTAGTCTGCATATTACTTTTTTTTTATTGTATAGGGTCACTGAAATCTCTGGTTGGCTAGTTTAGTGGTAAGGTAATGCTTTTGAAAAGCGATTTCCTTAAATGCTTTGAATCCATAAATCTCCCAGCCTTTGTCCTGGCAGGCAGTTTACAACTCTTAGTCTTGACTTACTCCTTGCATAGGGCCTTAATGTTAGCCAGAGATGAGAAATTAGAGCCTTTTCAGGTCTTTTCTGGACATCTGCATAGCCCTTAGCATGCACACAGCTGTGTATGAGTGTGTCCTACTAGAGTCTAGAAATATGCTTAAACTTTTCAAAGCCCTTATGGGCATCTTATTCTCCAGTTTTTTTTTTTTTGCTTTTTGGTGAGTCTCTGGTTGGCTCTGATTGATAACACCAGCTCAGGCAGGGGTGATGTTAAATAATTGTCACTTATTCTTTTCTATAAATGCCTTCGGGATAGTGCTGTTTATCCAGAATTAGCTCTGAGTCAGGTCAAATAAAGAAAAAGCTGTGAGGATGGAGCTTCTTGGTGAACTGCCAGAAATGTCAGCTAGTGACAGTTCTCTGGGGATCGAGTTTTGGTGAGCTCTAAACCCATCTTGACTGCTAACCAGAAGGTTGGTGGTTCAAATCCACCAGCTACTCCATGGAAGGAAGACTGGGCAACCTACTTCTGTAAAGATTTACTACCTTGGAAACCCAATCGACGCGATGGCAGTCTCCAGGGGCTGCTAGACTGCTTGTATTCACAGCTACTATAGTTGTAAGTCTGTTGATTTTTAAGGCTATCATGGGTCTAGGGAAGGAGGATGGGACTAGGATAAATTAAAATGGCCCAAAGCTTGCTTTTCTTACTGAGATCCAGCTGCTTCTATTGAATAAACTCTTCAGATTGTTGCAAGCCTTTATTTCCAGAGTTCTGAAAATGTGGATTTTGCCAATTTTTGCTAGCACTGTGATTTTATGGAGGAGGAGATTTTTATTTTCTTTCCATTTTGTAAAAAAAAAATTATTGTGATTGGGGGAGATTTTTAGAGGTTCTTGCTGTAATCACCATTCTAGAGGTGCCCCCTATGCCACAAATCTTATAGTTTTGGATTTTTTTTTCTTTTAATATACTGAAAGTCTTCATAATCATAGGCGGCTGGGACTTCTCTCAGCCTGTGAGAGTTCTGACCCATGTCCTTTGTTGTAAACTACTGTGGAAATGTTTCCTGATTTTAATTCTTAAACAGAAAGTGCTCTATGTCCAGAAGGCTTGAGAAATCAGTTTCTTGTCAGATGCTCTTAAGATAATGAAAATAATATAAGGATTCAGCAAGATTTGTCCTAATTTTCTGGACATAAAAATAGAAAAGATACTATATAATAGTCTATACAAAATATAAGTGTAAAGATAGTGTTAGTTCATAAGGGGAAAAAAAAAAAGCAAAAAAGCAATCTCTCTTTTCCTGAACTGTAACAATCAAGTTCCCATTCTCAAACTCAAATTCAAAGGCTTGTTCTGCCTCATACCATGAACCTGAATAAATGATGAAACTTCTCAGAGCTTTTGTAAAATGTCGATAATATCTGATAGAACTGTAGTGGTGGTGTTGTTGTTGTTATGTGCCGTCGAGTCAAACCTGACTCATAGCGACCCCTGCTTGGGTTTCCGAGGCAGTATCACTACGGAAGTAGGATTGCCCGACCTTCCTTCCGAGGAGTGGCTAGTGGGTTTGAACCGCCAGCCGTCTGGTTAGCAGTCAAGTGCCTTAGCCACTATGCTCCCAGAGCTCCCAGAACTGTAATGTAGTGGGGACTTATATATATTGTAGGTATGTAAGTCCTTTTTAAACAATAAAGAGCCATGTTCAACATATGCACAGGAGATTGAGTTGGTGGTTTGGAGAGTCGTCAGGTGATTTAAATAAGCTCTTATTTAAATAAAAACTAGGTTTTATAATATCTGTAATTGGAGCACTTAATACAGAAATGCATTTACAAATATAAAACACACTTCAAAACTTCCTTTGGACTATGCAAATTTCTTTTTTAAAAAGTTGATTTATCTTTATCTTTTACTTTAAAATTTGTTCTAAATAATTTGAGAGTCAAAAGAAAAAAAGGTACATCAGAAGTCTTCTTCCCACTCCCGTCTCTTCCACTTTGTTCCCTTGTTCTGCTCTCTGTAGGGGAAACTATCTTTTCCTCTCAATATATTTTTATCCAAATAAGAGTAAATATGAATGCACACTCATACAGTTGATCTTATTTGCCACATCATTATGAGGTAAATTATTCTGCAGATGATCAGTGGTTAAGACAGTAAGTTGGTTCATTACACAGCAGGAGGCAGGGCTGGGGCTCAAATACAGGCTTGCTAATGCCAACGTGTCCACAGCTACCTTGTGTGTCTGCATTTTGAACTTTCTTTTAAGTACATCTTCCAGAAAACTGCACGTAGAGCCGCATTCAGAGGCTATCTCTACCTATATATTTATATGTGCTGCAAATATATTCATGAAAATAGTAGAGCATAAGGGAACAAAGTTACGAAAATGTCAACCATAACTAAACACCGTGAGGGAATGAGTTGCTGGGTATGGAGACTCAGGACTATAGTTTCAGGGGACACTAAAGTCAAATGGCATAACACAGTCCACAAAGACAATATTCTATATCCTACTTTGGTGAGTAGTGGCTGGGGTCTTAAAAGCTTGTGAGTGGCCATCTAAGGTGCATTTGGTCTCTCTCCATCTGGAGCAAAGAGTGAAGAAAATCAAAGACACGGGAAACAATTAGCCTAAAGGACTAAACCTAGCCTCCACAACTCTTAGGCCAGAAGAACTAGGTGGTGCCCAGCTACCACTGGACCAATATGAGGTCCTAGAGTGGGGAAAATGTAGAACAAAACTGAAAATCATACAAAGGACCAGGCTTACTGATCAGATGAAGACTAGTGGAACCCCTAAGACTATGGCCCTTTGACACCCTTCAAGCTAGGAACGGAACTCAACCCACATGACTCAGCTGGCAGCCAAACAATAGATCTATAAGGTGAACAGTAATATTAGGGGGGAGGGGGTATGCATTCATTACAACAGTCAAGCATTTGGGATCAAGAGAACAGTGTTTGCCCAGGGATAGAGCTAGGAAGGGGGAGGGGGTGTGAAGGAAGGATGAAGGGAAGGGGGTTGGGCGCAGGGGAAGAATGCTGTCACAGTGTGGCGTTTGCAGTAAATGTCACAAAACAGAAGGTTTATGGATTGTTGAATAGAAAACCCATTTTGCTCTGCGAATTTCCAAAAAAATTTCTGCCTTTCAGATTGGTGGACCGGATAACTCTCGGTTGACTTCTCGTTTGGGGAAAGAATATGTCAATGTCATGAATATGCTCATTTTAACACTCCCTGGCACTCCCATAACTTACTACGGGGAAGAAATAGGAATGGAAAATATTTTATCCACCAATCTCTACGAAAGCTATGATGCTGTAAGTTTAACAACTTAGCCATGCACCACAGCTGTAAAACCAAGTACTTTTTTTTTTGGGTAAATCAGGGAATTTAAAATTTTTATTCCATTGCTTAAAATGATGCTAACTTTGCTTTTATTTCTGTTGTACAGTAAGAATTGCCAGTTTTCCTGGTGTAGAGATATCGTTAAAATACTGCTTCCTGGACTATTCAACTGAATTTCTAGGGTAGAGCCCAGAATCTGCATTCTAAAGACGCTTTCCCACTGATGCTTATACAGGCAGTCCCAGGTTTACAGGCAACTCCCACTTGCCTTTTAATGTTATGTAAATTTGTCCTCATTCAAAAAATGATTAAGCCAGTCCCTACCATAACAAATTTATCTCAATCACCTTCACTTGCTGCATGTGCAGGTTTTAAATCATTGAAAAACTTTGAGCCTTTTTTTGCCCTAAATTAAGGTTAAAAAAGAACTGTGTGTACCTGTTGACATACTAATTCTCAGAGACATGAATGGATTTCATTTGTACTTTGGGGAATGACTATATATCCTGAAATTTGAGAACTAGCGTTCTGAGATTATTCATTGTCCTCTATCTGAAGCATGGAGGGTTAAGAACACTTATTTCCTTAGTTCTTATCTTCTGCTAGATCTTATTTAACTATAGCAAAAAGACTTCCTTTTATGTTATCAGATGCAATGCACAGCCTCAGACTTGAGAGGTTTTTATTTTTGTTTGAGGCTATGGATCTCACAATTATGTTGCTGAGTAGATGCCTGATCTCGAATGTTTCATTTGTATGGTTTGCTTTCAACTGTATAAGATCCAATTCCCCTAATATTTGGTCAAGGTGAAATCTTTTCTATTTCAGCTCCCAAGTTTGTATGTGTGTACTCCCGCACAGTAACCAGGCTGTTTAAGTGTAGGCTGGAATTCAGGCTCACTTGGACATAGTTGTGTTTTAAATTCATTACCACTATCATGGTTGAATGAGGAACTTGAGAATAATTGGTAATGACACATTTTGAAATTCTGCATTGCTCATTTTTAGGCGAAAAAGAAAGCAGCAGAGTCTAAGCAGGTATCCAAGTACAGTTATTAGAGTCTATTTAAACCCAAGATGTTATTAGTTATTTTCCAATTCAAGGTGTGAAAATGGCTTATGTATTCAACGTTAAGGTCTTTTCATTGTGCATGCTATGAACACAAGCACTAGCTAACAGATAATAGGTAATTAAATAATTATGAAGTATTTCAGGGCCAAGTTGCATTTCTTTTAATAACCAGACTATTATAGGTTTTTTTTTTCTTTTACCATAGAATACCCTTGTTTCAAAGTCACCAATGCAGTGGGACAACAGTTCAAATGCTGGTTTTTCTGAAGGCAATCACACCTGGTTACCCACCAATTCAGATTACCACACTGTGAATGTTGATGTAAGTACCAATGAAAAATTTATGTTGATTCTAGGAGCTCTGGTAGCATAGTGGCTAAGTCACTTGCCTGCTAACCAGACGGCTGGGGGTTCAAACCCACCAGCCACTCCTCGGAAGGAAGGTTGGGCAATCCTACTTCTGTAGTGATACTGCCTCGGAAACCCAAGGAGGGGTCGCTATGAGTCGGGGCCGACTCGAGGGCACATAAGAACAACAACAACAACTAGACACAGAAAATGGGTTTCTGTACTGAAAACATACAAATACCCTGCCTGCCTAAACCATAACGGGATGACTCTTTGAATGAATCTCACAGACTTCTCTTGCCATTTTGTTTGTAAGGAGTTTGTAAATCATGTTGTGAAAACAGAAACTGGCACACAAGTTTGGCAACTGAAGCATCAAGCAGAATATGCACGCTTCATTGAAATGACCTTTACAAAGACCTTTGAGCTAGGAAGATGAAAATAGTATGAAGTCTTTTGACACGTCTAGTATCCTTGCTCCCCTCGAAAGGAAGAAGGAAAAGAGGGAGGGAAGGAAGGAAGAAAGGAAAGAATGAAAAAATCAATCAGTCCAGGGTCTTGTGCATTTGAGAGCAAGGCTGTTTGTTACCTGAAAAACTACTAAAGATGTGAATAATGCCTAAAGGAACTGTTCTGCAAAAGTACAGCCTCTGTCTTTTGCCTATATTATTTCCTGTTCTTGTAGTAATCAAATTTAAGAAAATTTAAGAAATCAAAATTTAAGAAAATTTAAGAAACAAAATTCTAGCTAAGTGCCAGGTAACATTCTATGACCAAAAAAAACCTAAATGGTTTCAGGTGAGTAAAGAGATTCCATTGTCATGCTGTCATGAAACTTTCACTGGAAAACACAATCTGAACCAATTTAGGGATATAGAAATTATTGGCATCACCTCAACCTGCAAAGTATTTTGAAAAAACTGTTCAGGTTATTTTGAATTCTGTATCATCCTCCTGTTCCCATAGCTCCCTGCCCCAAGCACCACTGAGAATTCCTGGATAGTATAAGCTCTTTGTTTTATGTATGGGTAGGTCCTTGAAAGCACACCCAAAAAACCAAACTCACTGCCGTCGAGTTATATCCACTCACAGTGACCCCTCTCTAGTTTGCAAAGTGGTATCACTATGGCAGTAGATTGCCCAGTCTTTCTTCTGAGGAGTGGCTGGTGGGTTTGAACCGCCAGCCTTTTGGTAGCAGCATAGTGCTTTAGGCACTACAGCACCAGAGCTCCCAGTATGTATTTAACATTGTGTTTTGGATTATATGCATCTGTTGATTTTCATTATGTCTAAAATGTTTCCACAGACCCATTTGAGTCCAGTACATAAGGGATCCTTTATAAAAATGCACACCAGCAAGGATGGAACAATGTATAGGCAGATTAAAACATGCAATCCTTAGTCAAAAAATAAAGTTACAAAATGTAGGTGTGGAAATATTTAATAGCAGACAAAATAGAATTCAATATGAAAAGCATCATATGAGACAAAGGTGGTATTAAAAAATTGGTAAAAGAACATTCCACTCAAAACCATGAATCTTTATGCACGATAATAGCTTCAAAATATATAACACAAATACTGAGAAATGCAAGGAGGAAAAAAATCCACAAGTACAGAGAAAGACTTCAATATAGTTCTAGAAATTGACAAATCAAGTAGACAGAAATAAAAGCTAACACTTACTGGGCACTTCTTATATAAGTGGCACTGAACTATATACTTTACATGCATTATCTAAGGCTATAGGAAATATTAACAATAACTTTGACAAGTCACATACATGTACTATAAGTACCACTGTAGCTGATAAAACGGAATAAACATTTTCAAACATCCATTATATACTCAATAAAGACCACATATTAGGTATCCACACAAAAACAATAACCATCACCACCCCAATAAACATGGCTGGCAAGCGTACAATGAAATGAACATTATCATTGATTTGGCAACAACTCTTACGAAGAATAATTTGGCATCGTGTATCAAGTGCCCATACTCTTTGACCTTTCTGACTCTCTTTATTATTATTTATTTTATCGATAATCTATTCTATGGATATAATCCAAACTATGGGGGAGAGAGACATTAAAAATATACAAAAATATTAAGACACTTGAATGTTGAAATGAAAGGGAATCATTAAGTCTGGTATAACCATTAAACAGACTACTGCCATTAAAATGGCATTTATGGAGGCTACATAACAGCAAGATGCTTGAAATGTTAAAGGATGAAAGCAAGGAAAGTGTATTAAACAGCTATGTAACATGAATTATGTTTTATGTAGCAGTGAACCTAAATCTTCTTTAACGGACATATATTACTTTTATGGGAAAAAACAAACAAACAAAAAAGCAACCTATCTACAGTTTCTTTTACTTTAGGCAGCTTTTTGCTTTGCATCTTTTTTTTGGGCAACTTTTCCCCATCATTAGCTATGTAAGAAATACATGCCTACTGAAGTTACATGATCTTTGCATAATGCCAGCCTATATACTATCCTACAAGAGAACAGATAAGCACAAATTCATCAGAAGTTCTCAGAATCCCTAGACATGGTGGCTCCTTTTTATCCAGGCATTTGGCAGTATAATATAGCATAAAGTGGCTTTATTTAGGCAAGTTAAATATCCATTAACTTAGACACGGACATTGTGGGATTCCCACTGGAGTCAAATTTGGTCTCTCCAGCTGCTCCAGCTGAGATACAGCAGAGCATGTGCACATGGCTCCTGGATAGGCAGAAACCCTGGATCTGCAATTTCTATCAGTATTTACATAAGTGATTCATATCTGCTTATTAACAGTTATCATTTGTTATTTATCTTAAGGGACAAAATTTAATAATTCCTTATTAAATATTAAAAATGTTTTAAGAAATATTCTTTGAATCAAACATTTCTGTAAATAACCCTATTTATGTAAATAGGTCCAGAAGACTCAGTTGACATCAACTTTGAAGTTATATCAAGAATTAAGTTTACTTCATTCCAATGAACTGCTTCTCAGCAGGGGCTGGTTTTGCCATGTGGGGAGTGTGGGGGATGACAGCCACATTGTTGTGTACACGAGAGAGGTGGATGGCATTGACAGAGTGTTTACCATGGTTCTGAATTTTGGAGAATCAACATCAATGGTGAATCTAGCAGAAATGATTTCAGGACTTCCCTCAACTGTGAGCATAAGATTAAGTACTAATTCTGCAAACAAGGGCAGTGCCATTGAAACCAGTGCCATTAAACTGGACAAGGGAGAAGGACTCATCCTTGAATACAGAACAAACAATCTCCTTCATCACCAAACAGCTCTCAAAGACAGATGCTTTGTTTCCAGTCGGGCATGCTATTCCAGTGTATTCAACATATTGTACAGCCTGTGTTAAGCACCTCTGTGAAAGAGATGAAGACACTGGCATACATTATTACAAGCATTCACAGTAACGTCCATGTACAGCTTGCTGCTAGGTAAGCTTTATGAAGAACTGTCATGAATTCTTAGGTATTTCTGTACCTTGAATATTAGCTGCTTTAGGAAAGGTTCTCAAATGTTCTCAAAGAATAATAAAATATTTAAAAAAAAAATGATCACTTGCTTAAGATGATCAGACGCCTTAGGATCCCATCGTATTTGAAAGATCTAACGTGAAGAATGTTATCTTTTCCCTTAAAATGTAGTCATAGAAATTGGAGGATGACCCACTACTACATGTCTAAAAACGTTTACTAAAGAGGCGGGGCACTGATTTGTAAACTTCTATGTAAAACAGACAAAAACCAAGCTGTTCTGATTGGAAGGGGCACCCAGAGCCCTGCTGTCACCAATCCTTCCCTCATTCCCTGTTCTAGGCCCTTTGAAGGTGCAGGATTTGAAAACTGCTATTCTAGGTTAAGGGGCATGTGCATCAATGGACAGAACAGTATAAACAAGTGAGATGTAGCCTAAGCACAATTTGGATGGAGAGAAAAATTCTAAAAAATTATTTAACAACTGAAAAAAATCTCACTTTTGTTAATCCATTTGGAAATAAGACTAAGAAATATCTCAGTGTTTGCCATTCTCCGTTGAATGTGGCGTTTCAGAATTTTAAATATTTCTTAAGATCCTCAAAAACACTGGTGTTGTCAAGTCCAAGCTCCTCATACAGGAATTTAATTTGGGCTGTAATCTAAGAGAAACACATTTCAAAATTAGATAGATAGCCTATGTGGACAAACTCCAGTATCTAAGTCTCTCTATCTATCCGTCTTCATCTAACCCTGAAGTCAGCAATTTATAGCAAAGGTACTTTTATTCAGGGCACAGGTTTTCAACAGCTAAGATTCAATTCTTTCTTTTAACAGAGCTCACTGATCAAGTATGTGCCTTTTCTCTTGACTGTTTTCCTCCCTCCCTCGCCCCCACCCTGGCTCTCAGACATAGGCCTGACAGCCGAGAAGCAGTTCAGCCATAAACCCTGCTGCTACCCCTGAAATGTTGAGTGCCACAATTCTCTACTTGGGATCTGTCAAAAGTGGGGGGCTTCATAACATACCTTTTTGTGAGAATCCTCGATCACATGATTGCCTCCAGGCTGAATATCTAAAATAATATTGGGGGCCTGATAACCTGAAAAAGTTACATATAAAGTAATTAGAAAATTCCTGGTTCAGAATGGCTGATTGAGACCCATTTCTACCCTCTCCTTCCCCAGACACTATTAAAATAATAGCAAAAGAATAAAATTATCAACAATGAAGAGGGGAAGGGGCACGCAGAAGACAAATTTCTGAAAGAGGGAAAGCAGGAGGACAACTAGTGGCTAAGTAAGCACGACAGGGAGATTTTAACCCCCAGAGTACTCTGGTGTAAGCAGGAAGTAGCAGAATGGTCCTGTGGAATCTGAAAGTCTTGTGATCTGAAGACACCAACTACAGCAATGGGTGGGAGCAAGACATGGAAGTGAACACGAAATAACTGTCTAAAAACTTGCATATGGATTCTCCCATCCCTGAGCCCAGAATATTTTGGCATGCAGTTTCAAAGTAAAAAGGAAAAATTCTTATCTAATGAAACTGAAAGAACTACCTGGAGAAAATTAAAGCAGCTAGTTTGGGCACTGAGGCTCCAAGGTAAATATCTCAGACTGTGTCTCAAGAGTGTACAAGAATATAAATATTCAGTGCATAAATATGTGCTCGTACTATCTCCAAGTTTCATATTTATAATTTACTGTTTTCTGATTTGTGTCCTGTCTATCTCATTTTAATACTGTGCTTTGAAAAAGCAAGGCAGTCATAACTAGTCTACATACTGCAACTGGGCAGTCAGTGGAAAACCTATCATTTGTCCTAAAATCATGGGCAGATGATTTGCTCATGCATGACCTCTTAGTAGTATGCTAAAGGTGCCAGTCCATTTAGCCACATTCCCTGCTTCTTAGTGGTCTCCTACCTTCACCTCTGTTCTTAGCATGCTCTGTGATGGCTTCCTTGAGTTTCTCAGTATAGTTTACAATTCCTTTCAGAGGCACACGTTCATCATTTTCATAAGCTGTGATGTGAATCGAAGGATAATGCTAAAAGAAAATAGATGTGCAAAGTTTTTATTATTCCTTATGGTCCCTTTTCATCGTACAGATCATGAAAAGAAGTTCCTGCTCATTATTTCCCCCAAGTACTAGAAGTTTTTCCCATTTGGCTTTCTTTTTTTTTTTTTGTGATTCGGGTGAGTGTTTACAGAGCAAATTCACTTTCCATACAGCAGCTCACATACACTTTATCTCATGACATTGACTGCAATTTCCCACAATGCAGCAGCTCCCCTCCCACTTCCTCCCCATAGTCCTCTTCTCTGTGTCCATCCATCCATGCACTCCTGCCCCCTGAGCTGTCTCCCTGTGCATACACAGCCCTTCTATTCTCCCATGATTGCTCTCTCCAAGGAGTGTATCTACCTAATGTAAGTGTTCAGCTCATATGCCTTTCGTTTGGCTGGAGGACACAGGAGTAGGATCAAATCCAGACCTGAAGGGCAGCTAGGGGCCACAGCCTCAGTGGTTCCATCAGGCTCTACCAGACCAGCAAACCTGGTCCCTTTTTTTTAAAAAAAGATTTTGAGTTTTGTTCCACATTGTTCTCCCACTCCATCCGGGATCTCCTGCATAGATGCCCCTCTCTGAATGGTTGACAGTGGCAACCTGGCACAATCTAGTTCTTCTGGTCTCAACAGTCATATAGTCATATAGGCTGAAGAGTGTATGGTATTAGTCCCTTGGACTAATTGTTTCCATGAATCTTTGGTTTTCTTCATTCTTCTTTGCTCTGGATGAGGAGAGACATCTAGATGGCTGCTTGCAAGCTTTTAAGATCCCAGTTTCTACTCACCAAAGTAGGATATGGAACAATGTTACTGTGTAGTATGTTATGCCAATTAAGCTTGATGTCTCCTGTGACATGGTCCCGAGCCCACAGGTCCAACTACTCACTCCCTCTGGGTAGCTGGCCGTGGCCAAGAAATGACTACAACCTTGTCCCTTGTCAGCTCTACTATATACCTGGGAATTATAATAGAACATACACTTGTAGAAACACTGTCTGCCAACACTACACATGGTCATGGGCACACTGCCCCCACTGACATACATAATAATTCAGCCTGTCCACCCATCTATCCACCCATATATCAATCTGTCATTTGGCATTCTTGAGAGATCTATAGCATGACAGTACCATAATACCAGGGCTTTGAACCTGTTCATTCTGGTTGTAAGAATCACTTAGGGATCTCTTTAAAATGTAGATTCTGATTCAGTCTATCTGGGGTTGAAAGGCAAATTCTCAGCAGGAGGTCAAACTGGAAGGAACTGGGTCAAAGTCCTACAGAATACTTGTTACTTTGAATAAATAGCCTTTGCTTGACTAGAGAGATCACACCTGATCTAATTTTGTAATTAAGGCACAATAACTCTATTCCCGAGGTATTAAATGGAAACAAACACACAGTATGAGCAGAGGTACTCAAAGAAATTTGGGTATTAAAAGTAGAAATATTCTAAAACCCTATCAATTCCTGCCTTAGCTCAAGTAAGTAACCTTTTAATTTTCTTCCCTATCACTTCAGAATGGTGTATCATAACTGTCTTTTACTACCTGAGGTTTAATATTTTGGTAGGGGCAGTAACGTTTTATGTAATTCTTGTGTTTTTCATCAGATGAAGGATTCCCCCATTCTTCTAATTCTTCTAATGTCAGAGGCAGCGTAGTGTCCACCATGGTGTTCAGAACATCCAAGAAAGGCGCCTAAAAAAAAGAGCCAGAGAAACTTCAATTTTGACTAAGAAGTTGCTAAAATAAGCTTCAGAAAAAATATACTACTTTATGAATATACAGTCTGACATGAGAGAACAGAGCTCCAGGAGCCATGCAGATTCCTAGGACTCAGACTACTCAGCCCCTAAGTGGGGCTGGGCTTTATAACTAGCTTCTGGGTGTTTAGTTTTTAAATGGCATTTATATAATGAGAGAATGTTTATTTTCTAATTTCACAATTTTTGTTTTTAGTTTGCTTTTTATTCATGTAATTTTTTTCTTACATAAAAGTAAAAAAATACAAAAAAAAAAAAACCAAACACTGTTGTTGACTCAATTCCAACTCACAGTGACCTCATAATTAAAAATCCTACTTGTAGAAAATGTCCAAGTTGAACAGAAAAACCACCCACTAGCCCATGGGAAGGAGCTCTAGTAGAGCAGTGCCTAAGGCACTTGATGGCTAACCAGAAGGCTGGCAGTTCAAACCCACCAGCCACTCCTCAGAAGGAAGGTTGGGCAATCTACTTCTGTACTGATACTGCCTCAGAAACCCAAGGAGGGGTCGCTAATGGTCGGGTCCGACTCAACGGCACATAACAACAACAGCCTATGCATTGTTGTTGGATACCGTGGAGCTGTTTTTGACTCAGTGACCTCACGTGACAGAGCAGAACTGCCCAATAGTGTTCTCTAGGCTGTAATCTTTACAGGAGAAGATCGCCAGGTCTTTCTCCCATAGAGCAGCTGGGTGGGTTTGAATTGCCAACATTTTGTTTAGCAGCTGAACACTGAATAATCCGCAATCAGAGCTTCTTCAGAGTCCATGTTGTTGTTGTTAGGTGCTGTCCAGTCATTTCCAACTCATAGTGACCCCATGCACAGCACAACAAAACACTGCCTAATCCCACGCCAGCTCCATGATTCCTGCTATATTTGAGCACCTCATTGCAGCCACCGTGTCAATCCATCTCGTCGAAGGCCTTCCCCTTTCATTGACCCTCCACCCTACAAGCATGACATCATTCTCCAGGGAATGGTCCCTTCTAACAACATGACCAAAACAGGTGAGACAAAGTCTGGCCATTCTCGTTTC